TTTATTTAAAATTATCCTCTTTCAACACTCAAAATGTAAATACCACCACTTGAGCCACCCTTAGTGAGTGAATTTATTATTTGAAATCTGGCAACATGTCGGGGATGTTTCGAAAAAACCTCATGAAAATTAATTTATTTTAATGCACTCAAGAGAGAATACAGTTTGTGGCGTGCTTTGTTACAAAGGAGGAGACAGTCAGAACTCAAGAGAAACGGATCAGATACACAAGGGTTGGAAAATGTGATACCCAAATTAGTTCGATTCAGGACACATTTTCTTCTTGTTTCAAAAGTGGATTTCAGATTCACTAAGATCCCTATCTCTTTTTTGCTTACTTCCTTTCTTCTCTTTCTCTTTCGTTGTCAACGACATTTTATCCATCTTCCTACCCACCCACACCTCACTCGCTTTACTCTTCTTCTCTTATCCTACATTCTTTATCGACTTTTTTTCACTCCTACTCATTTTTCTTCTTTTATTTCGTCGCACGGCTACACCTAACTTCGTTTCCGTTGAAATTCACTGCACCGTCGCGATTCTATCCCGTCCGAGTTTCTTCCAACCTCCTTGGACTTTATCTCAGTGTTCTAAAGTGTTTCAAGGAAATTTTTCAATTTAATTTTACAGCAAAATTCAATTTACCTCGAAATTCTTTTCAATTTTCCATATATTTTAACTCTTTATTTTCTCTTAAGTACATCAATACCATTTATTACTCCAGTTCACCTTCATTTTCTTACTCAAATTGGTACCAATTAATGTTATCATTCATTTTTTTGCACAACAAGACTTATCGAACGAAAATTTGACACTAATCAATATAATAATTGACAAAATTAATTGCGTCAATTAGTGAAATATGTCAGTATGTCTAGAGTAGTAATAATAGAGTAACAACTTGTGCGAATGATTTTGAATAATTTCATAAAATGATGACTAAATTGGATTAATTTAATCATACTCTCAGTTACACAACTTTTTTGCATGGATTGATTCTGATACATGAAGGCAAGAGTAATAGATAACCTGAGTCATCGACAATGGATCGAGTCCAATTGGCTCAGATCAATTTAAATGTAAAGCGTCAGGAGGCCGCTATTGATTTGAATTTCCCGCCGTCTTGGCTGGATTCCCATTGGCCTTTTTCGCGACAAGAACAACGCCCTCATATTCCTGTCTCGCACACTTTCCAGTCCTTTTCAACATCTTCTCTTTCTTTCTTTGTCTACCTTACAGATCTTCTTCCGGGTGTCGACCTCGAAAATTGGATTTACCCGAGAATCGATAAGCCGTCTCATAAATCTGTCCATTATCGTACCCGTAAAGTTTCCATATAAGTCGCTGGATACCCTTTACCTATAGATTTGCCGTTTGTGATGCTCCCGGGAATCCCTCCTTTTCTTATGCGCATTCTATTTTTTTCCACTCATTTTTATTTATCTTTATATAACTGTTGTTTCCATTTCTCGATACTCACATATCAAATGCCAATATATGATAGAACGTCTATAAATATTTAAACTATTTATGGAAACCTTTTTTAATTCAATAAAAGTAAGCTGCTTGCTTTCAGCACTTTTGACCCGAAAGCTATTGATCATGAATCACAACTCGATTGGAGAGTTTAAAATTTCCAAAAATACGATCCTTAAAGTTTCCATCATTTCTCTTATTTATAAATCATTTATTAAAAAATGTATAATTAAAAAAAAAAAGCTGCATCAATTTCATACAGTTACTAAATAATACACTATTTCTCGATAAGAATTAATTTATTAAAAACAAAGTAATATAAAATACGTAAAGAATATTATTCGTAATCTGCATTATTTAGTATTTAAAGATTTTTATCAGTGAATTTCAATAGAAATATTTTATTTCTTTTTCAGATCTTGTCAGCACTAGTATAATCACGACATTGATTAAACACTGGCCGTCTAGAGCGCCTGTTACTACTCAAACTCGTCTGCAGTCTGTCAGGTAAATCTTTTTCTCCTACGGCTGATTATAGCGACATGATCATTTCTATCTACTTTCACTTAAACCTCTAGAGTCCGTCCTACCCGGCCTTTTCTACTTAAATGTTATGTTTGCATTAGTGGGAGGCCTATCCTCTATTTTTCATTTTTATCGATTCTCAGGATATCTCTGTCTATGTAAATAAAGACGATAAAATACTACTTATATGTTTGGAACATAAATTAGTGGATAAGAGAAAAGTCAGACATGATATTGATGTTTAACTATTTTTTTTCTCATTCGTTGGATTTATCGAATTCAAAAGTAAAACAAGAACACCCGGTAGACATGAAATGGTCGAGTAGCACGAGACGACATTCTGCGCCACGTGACTGTTAACAGAGACACGTAGCAAATATACAGTAGCCCGCATTAATCAACTGAACTAATCGGAACAGCGGAAGAAACAAGAGCCAAAAAAAGCTTAAACAAGACTAATATAAAATAAAATACAAAAAGCCCAATAAGATTGAATTTAGTAGACAAGAATGTTGAGATAAATATATCCTTTGTTCTCTCATTCACTATACAATGTTAAATATACCAAAAAGCTCCCTCGCTAAAAGGAAAGAAGAAAAAAAGTCCAAAATAACGAAGAAAAAAGATATCGAATAAAAGAGTGACCTTTATGTCTTTTTGTGAGTAATAATCGTAGCACGCGAACCAACTCGTTACTCATTCATTATATCTATGGGCCAATAATATTAATCGATAAGTCGAAAGAAACTAATAAAAATGATGGAAAATAATATTACAACTATTTATTTAGGACATTTAGGTAAATATGAAATAAAGCTTAAAAAAGCTATGTTTTATTGTTTCAGTCTCTACTAGATTTATAGTTTCAATTAAAAGATCGTACTGTTGAAAATTTTCAACAACTTCCAGTGAAGTTGACCAAGTGATTCATTTAGAAGTTATAAGCAATCAAACTTGTCATCAAAGCAACATTACTTTGTTCACTCAGATGAAGATAACCTTTAAACAAATTACATGCAATGTTGAAATTGGGCAAATTGAAATTCTTGGTAATAAATAACTATTAGTTGTAATTACTTTTCTGTTTTAATATAAATATATATATATATATATATATATATTTCACATTTTCCCAACAAGAAAAAGAAGTGTAATTTTGAATGTGACGCCAAGTTGAGTTTTACAATCTCGAAAAAGTGTTTGAATAATTGAAAATGAAATATCTCCGATGCAGAGCAATCTCATATAAGCAGTGATATTTAATAAAGTAGGTCAATAAACTAGGGGAAAAAAATCAAACGAGTTTCAGATGGGGAAAAAATAGGTCTCCGGGATTGGAACAAAAGTTAGAGGTTCTTTTACTCTTTTTATTTTTTTTTATTGCTTCTCTTCGCTAAAGTAACGCGGAAGATAGTCGACATAACGCAGCTCGAACGAATGACATAAGACATCCCCATCCTGACTTGAGCGCCACATGACCGTTTCTGTCACGCGCCTAAACTCCCACCAGACCTTCCAACACTGCCAACACTCTTTTTCTTTCCTCTTTAAAAAAATCCTCCCACTCTTCAATTCTTCCTTGCCCTCTCTGTCCTCCATTTCCCTTATTCACCACCGTCGCCTGGACTTTACCCCCACCGTTCACCAGCCGATCCACAAGGAGCAGAACGGCATATCCATAGACATATACACTGTGTCCATGGGCATATCGATGGGAGACCCGAGGCTTGCCGAATCATACCGAACTCCTCCGACCCTTGGCCTCGACTCATCTCGCACCAAATCGTGAACTAGAGGAACAGTTGCATTTAAACTCTGGTCGGGTTCGCGTTGGATGTCAGTTGTTGCACCTTACAATGAGTCTTCGAATTAAGTTTGACATTTGAAATTCTTTTTCAACCCACTTATTATGTGATTAAATAAAAACTTGCAAGTTGTCATTTAGATGTTCTTTTTTGATCGTATTTTTTTCTTTCATCATTCCATTCGGAATTAAAGTGAATTATTTTAATGTGTTTTTATTGTTCCATTCGTGACAATTGATTATTAATATTTTTCCTTGGGGAAAAAAGAGTTTGAGTGATAGTAATATATGATTATTTTATATTTTACTTTTTATTTATTGAGTTAAATTACTTACGATGTATAGGCACTTGTGACATTCTTTAATTAAGAAAAGGAAGAAGAAAGAAAGCGAGAAAATATGAGAAAATGAAAAATCTCACATTACTTATTGCTTTAATTAAGTAACAATAGAATTTTTCAGCAATCATTTTATTTATCTTATTTTATCGTCTCAGTTCTTTGTTTTATTTTAGAGAGAACAGAGGGGAAAAAACCCTGGTATTGAGAGAAAAAAAAATTGAAATTTGAGAAGTGTTTGGCAGTAAAAAAAATTCACATGCTGGCTAAAAAAAAAAATAAAAAAAATAAGAATAAAAAATAAAAAAAGGTACTTATACGTGACATGACTTCGAAGCACGTTCAGAGGATTCACAAAGTACCTGACGTCTCTTAGAGATCTAAGATTTCGGGGATTCGGTGCTAAAGTCTTACCTCGCTCTAAAATATCTTTGTCTTAAATTTTTCCTTCAACAACTTCCCTTTCTTTTATTCATTTTTATATTCTTCATTTATTTCGATGATATATGAAATCACATATTTACTAACAAAAATATATATTCTACCAGTCATTTTATGAAAATTATTTTTAAATTCTATTCTTATATTTATTTGAAAAAAAAAAAAAAAATAATATGACAGGCACAGGGAAAAATCATTAAAAATTTGAAGTCCTTCATTTTTATTCAACTCACATTTTTCCTTTAATCGATGAATGACATTTAGTTTTTTTATTTTCTTTTTTAAATGACAGCAGAGAAATATTCTAATGTGTTCATCTGTTATCTTAAAAATTAGATCACAACATCGGAAATAATTATTCAAATAAAAACTAATTATTTTCTAATTTATCTTTTAAAAATTACTTTATGATAAAATCAATAATTTTACTCCGAAAAAATGATACCAAAGTTGCCAGTCATTCATAAGTTTTAATAGCCATTATTCATCAAAAAATCATAAACTGAAATTTTCTTTGTTCAGATATTAAAAATGGATTTGAAAAAAATTTTATGATATTTGCTCTAGTAAATTATTTTCAGTAGCAGCATAATAAAAGTCAAATCTAACAAACTGATATAAAGTCGAGATGTGAATTTTTAAAATTGCCCAAATTACGATACTAAGATTCAATTCAATACGAACAAAAAAAAACCGTATTATTTTTTATAAAAAATTTAGCGCTTGCGTGTTAAAGTCAGGCACGATTTTTCTTTTAGTTTAAAATCCCAGTTGAGACTTCGATCCGAGGCCGAGAGAGCTCTGCGTGGGAGACCTGTCGCTCCTTTCTCTCCCTTGCAGTCTTTCTCTCTTTTTTTCATTTTCTTACTCTTTCTTTCGGTATTCGCTTACTCTTTTTCCCCCTTCTCTTTATTCACTTCTCAATCTGGTGCAAGAACACCCAAAGACGCCGACTTCTTCCGCTTCCGAGGTGAGTCACAATTTAAATTACCACAGACGTCTCTCTCTCTCTCACACTCTTTCTCTCTTAGAACAATTGGCAAAAGTAACGAGAATCAATTAATTTTACTTTTTAATTGAGAAAAAAAATTTATTAACACTCAATAATCATAATGATAACAACATAAAATCAATACCCTCGAGAGATTTCCAGATTCTATTGAAATTAATTGACCTCAATTTTGTAATATTTATCAAAGAAGTATCAAATAAAAGGAAGAAATGGAATAAAATGTCATTAATTATTCCCAACTATAACTATAACTGCTGTTTATGACTGGAAATTCATTAAAACCCTTTTATTATAAAATATTTTTAATTTATATTATTTTAAAATAGTGCATTTAAATTTATTGAGTAATTATGATCAATCATTAGTTCTATTTATGTAATTAAATTTCATAAAACAGAATAAAATAATGATGAAAAACACTCATTGCATTAGAAAAATAACGTTTTGTTCGTTTCAAGTTGACCAAACAATGAGATAATTCAATGCAATTTTTTGTTTCCATATGAAAGAAATTTTAATTGATAAGAAAATACAATTGTGTCACGATTCGTAGAATGATGTAATATCAGCAGACTTTTCATGGTAATTTTTTGATGTAATACTTTTTCCGTGTGAATATTGCAGAAGAAACAAGAGAAATGATGTTATCGGATGTATGGCACGCACCCAACAACAACTACTGCACTTTTTCTCTATTTCTACTTCGTTTTTTCCCCCTTTCCATATATTTTAAAAACAGTCAATTCATTCTCAATTTCCCTCCTTACTCTCCGCCTATCAACGAACACTCAAAGCTTTCATAAAGTCTGTCCTTCCATGTTGTTATGTTAGGAAACAGTTAGGAAATAGAATTAACATTATAATTATTGATGATCTCTAAAAATGCAGCTATTCATTCTTCAGTTGAAAAAAATTTTCAACACTCATTTATCTTTAATAAATCTTATTAACATCATCCTGACGAGGATTCTTGATAATTAATACATCTATTTCTAATGGATAACTTTTATTTACAATGAAAGAAAATTCTTTTTTACATTTTTGTGGTGAAAATGTTTTCAAAATTAACTGCAATGGGTAAACTTTATTAAAAACATCTGAATTCATTAATAATAATTAATTAATTATTAAACTAATGAATAAAATACTTGTAAAAAGTTTTCTTTAGTATTAAAATAATAAAAAAAAATAGTTTAATTAAATTCACAACTATTTTTATAAGATTAAAGATTATTAACTGATTCGATAAATATTTATCATAAAATAATTTAATGTATCGATGATACTACATAAATCTAATTAATTCTGTCAATAATATTTTAAATGAATTAAAACATTATACAATTATTCATCAATTAAAAGTCATATTATATTGATCAACTCTAAATGAGGAAAATCATGTTCGATTTAGAGGATGATCATCCCAAGGAATCAAGGTTCGTTATTTTTAATTAAAGTTGATATAACAGTTTGTTCGTGTTCTACATCTTATGTATTTTTATGATACTATCATCAGAAATATATTTGTAATCATGTACACTATTTGCAGACATATCAAATGTAAATGCAAATGCTCGATTGGTTCCAAATATAGTCTACATTATTCAGATATGCTATGAGTTATGATGATGGATTATTGCAAAATAGCCAGAGGATTGATTGGGACTTTTGATGATGCATATCCGACTTCCAAATAGGGACTACATTGCACAAATAGTGTCTACACTCTTTCCGATGATTAGATGTTGATTCAGTCGAATGAATAATTTATAAGAAAAGGCAAGAAAATTCTAACTTTGGAATTACTTTCTTGATGTGCTTAGTGATTGGTTACTTTAAGACGAAGTAGCTATTAGTGTGATTGAAAAAAACATCCTGTTTTTTCTTCATATTTTCTTCGAAAATATCGTTTTAATTTCATAAAATTCGTGACATTTTAATATATAATATAAATTAACATACTCTTCATTTAATAAAGTTAAATTTGAATAAATTATTATTTTATTTTTAAATTAAAAGCCACATTGCAAGCTAAAAATGACATTCGTGTTATATCTCGAGTACTTGACTGAATAATTGAATTATTCTTGAATTATTTAAGGAATCTATTGGAACGAATATACTTTTGAAAAAAGATTCAGAAGATAATAAATTCTGTTCGACAACTTGTGGGTCAACGATGAATTTTTAAAAGTAATAAAAAATTCAATCAAAATCTATAGGCTATCATTAGTTTCTTTGATTTAAAAAATTACTACTTGCTTTTAAACTGATACACTTTTTTGTTTTTCAATAATAAATCTATGAATGAAATACTTCTAGATGTTTTTAATCTGGTGTTTCTTAATCAAACCGTCACAGCAGCTCCAAATGAACACACTAAATCTAATTTCTTTCCAATTTATCGAAAAAACATCGCTGCCAGTAGTAAAGTTTATAGATTTATCACACAGAATTATTTCTCAATAAATGATAGAGTTTTCTTTCATTGATTTAAGAAGCCAAGTTTCTGGTGTTTAAGTTTGCTGATCTGGTACAAGTGATAGAAGCATTTCTGTTGCTTTATTCCTTTCTTATTCGAAGTACATTGTGTTCAGAAGAAATTAGAGTCATGGATGCAGTTGTTAAAGAAAAAGAAGAAGAAGAAAAGACGAATAGAGAGAGAGAGAGAGAGAACACGAGGGACTCCTAGACCGCATTTCTCGCCAATTCAGCCAGTTACAAAGCTGACGTCAGCTCTGCGGCTTGACATAATTCGATTCAACTCGCTTAATTTTGCGAAAATGACCAATCTTCTCGGCACGATTTTGCTTGCACCAAGAGATTGCGTTGAGAAATTTTTCTTAAGTCCATTCTCCTTCTCTTCATTTATTCTTTCTCCTTTAAGATCAACCATTAAACTCAAACCTTTCTCTCGTCCATCTCTATCGCCTCCAAGTAGTTGTCTTCCTCCTCCACATCTTCACTCTTTCCTCATCGCTTCCTACTATGCTCTCACCCACGCCACTTTCCTACCTACATTCGAAACTTTTATCGATCATCGACGGCTTTTACTCTTTACTTCTTTCTGTCTAACGTTTTAGCAATTTGTTATTGAGGATTCTCTGTCTCCGTATCTACTGTACTTTTACTTAAAAGCATCATTTATTTTTATTTACTTATTATTTTTTTTTTTACACGTTGACATTACTACTAGCAAGTAGACGACATTCAGCTCTCGTTTCCCATTGACATTTTATATGGCTTGTTTTTCTATTATTTTCATACAAATCTAAAAAGTGATCAAAATTTATTATTATGTCATTTTATAAATCAACAAACATTTTCATTCAAGAAAAAAAAAATATGGAAATTTAATGAATTATTTTATTCCAAATCCAACAAAATTTAAATGTTTAATCATTAAATTCTGAAAGTGTTTAGTTTCTAAACATTTGGATTTTAAGTGTCTGGTGAGTTCTCTTGATAGCGTTGATGCACAGTATGAACCTTTTTGTTTTGTCCTAGAAACAGATGTTATATCAGTCTATTAGATCAGGAATTTTGAATATAAAAATACAATGTTAAAGTTAATTGTTATTGGAAAAAAATTCCAATAAAACAGCAAAAAAATGGAATGTAAATAATTTCAAATTATTCGAAATTGTAGATATGATGATCAAAGAGAATATTTCCATGTAAAGTCATGTGTGAAATTTGAGAGGAAAATTAAATAATTATAATAATGACAATTTTATAAATCAATTTAAATTGAAATGATAACATTAAATGAGTGATATTATCATTGATTAAACATTGGAAACAATGTCTTCATGATTGAATGATGTGTTAATTTCATCTTCTGCCAATTGAATGTCACATAAGGCTGTCATAAATTTTCAGCAAAAGAGAGGTATAAGAAACTATCGTCTCGGAAGAGAATCTGAATAAAAATCAGTATTCCGTCATATGAGGAAATTTTTTAACTGGAAACAGTCTGAAGTGAGCAAAGATTCGCTTTTCAACGACGGACTTCGTCATCTTAGTAGAAAAGAGGATTGGAAAGAAGGATTTGGAGTGCTTTTGGGAGGCGATTTAGTCGCTTGCAGCCTAGCGTCAACGAGAATCAACCAAGCACACAAGTCTCGGTCTTTCATATAGTAAAATGGAATGAGTTGATGGCAATAGCGGTTGTGGTAGCTGTGTGTGGTGTTGGAGAGGGTGTCCAATCCGCGTCGAAATCGCATGGAATTGCAACGATCCTGGAAAGTGCTAGGTATACCCTTGCCCACAAGCGTTAAACCACCATGGATACTTGTCCGTTACCAACTAACACTTTAGAATATCTGTTTCACTCTTTCAGCCACTTGTGTATTTGTATCTTCCTCGTGAGAGTGTTATCTCGCCAACGCCAAGCCATGAGCAAAAGCATACAGAGTCAATGTACTTTCCTAATTCGGTACGCTCCATCGCATCCAATGATCTGTCCTCTGGCAAAACCGATTACTTTATAAAGTCATTATTGGCCATGCACTGGTGCTATGAATTCGATCCTATTCCACTATTATTTATCCCTTTATGGTCTAGAGTACATAGGCCTGGGATTATCTCGGTTAAAGGATTATTATTTTATGCATAGCCTGGAATATATCATAATTTTTTTACGGAATGTTTCCTAAATCTAAAAGAAATATAACCAATGAAATTAAGTAGATAATCAGTGAGCATTTGGATCCAATTTTTCCAACATTTGTTTCTTCACTAAGCTCAATGACTTTGTAATTTCCTCAGTGGGATAAGGTCTAGAATTTAAAACAGATCATTCTTCACGTGTTAGTCTGTTTTCCTAAAGGTTTTAAAAGAACAAAACTCATACACTAATGTTGCTTATCAGTTATTAAAAGTGATAAACAAGGTATTTTGATGTATCGAACAAGATAATAAGTTTTATTATGAAATCAATAAAAAATTTACCTCTTTCTGAATAATCATATCAAGTTTATTGTTGTGTACGTGAACTCAGATTAGAACACATTGATGATTCAATATTTACGCTATTCTTTCAGAAAACATGTTACTACAATTGTGTTTATACTAAACTTTGATAGCATGTTGATTGCTTAGTAGAAGTTAAGTGTGTCATCGTGTGTGAACTAGCTAGAACTTAACAACAAAGGGACACGCACCAACACATTATATTATTACTGGTAATCTATTGATGATAGGTTGTATTCCGTGATGGAAAAGTGTCTTCAAACAACTACCACTTATACCTTGTTTAGCTGTTAGACTTCTCAATTCATGAATCATATGAAGGGTAGCAGAAAGGTGGATATTTATCGATGACAGATGATGAAGACTAAAATATTATTGCTTGAAAATACACAGTTATGTTGGAATTATAACATTGTTTGGATAGAAACTGATAAGTTATGAGTTGAACTAAAAGTCAAACTTTTTCTAACTAGATTCGCAATATAATGCACTTATAAAGTTTCAGCATCGTTCGAACCTTAACATTTTCTTGACTTTAAAGCTTAGCAAGAAATGTCCATTTGAGCAGTTAAACTTGGAATTCTTATATTGGAGACTATTCAAATTAAAGTATTGTTTACTTGAGAAAGTTGTTTTCCTCAAATTCGCCCATTAATACTTGATGATTTGGCTGTTTTTCTTTCAAACTATAACTTTTAAACTTAAAGACATACGTTGAATACATAGATATAGCTGATCTAGAAATTGAATGTCCTTTATAAAAGGTTATTGCAAAGGTTAGAGCAGTAAAATGAAGCATTTTGATGACATAAATGTTGAAAATTCAGATCGTAAAACTTATGTAGTATAATCTTTAAATATGGCTTGTGTTCTTAACTGAAGTTTCCGCATTCAACTAATGCATTTCCTTTATACCAAAGTCCTATTGGAGTATATCCATTTGTGAGGGTAAGCTGAGCATACCAATTCAACCGTTTAGATCAAACCATTCGCATCAGTAAAGCCGGATGACCCGTTCTCTGAGTGTGTGCTGTATTGTAAGTTGGGCGTTCGTATTTCTCAGTGTGAGAATTTAGAAATGTACAACGTGTGGTAGCTACCCAATAAATATAAATCACCCAACTAAAAACGTTTTAAAAAAAAAAATTACATGAACGTGATAATACAGCTTATTTTAAAATGAATAGAAAATCAATCTAATTTTTTATCAAAGTATTATTGAAGTATTTTTTAAAATAAATATAAAGATGATCAATAATTGACTTGGAATGATGTAATAACAAGAAGATAATATTGAAATTTATTGAACTGTGATGATTTTTAATCAAATTAAAGGATTATTCTCCAAGTCAGAGTTTCGAAAGTGTGTTACGGAGTTATAGTTGAAGAGGAAGAGGATGTTTGTACTATGCAAAAGATCAAAGCTAAAGACCTGTACAAAGATGACTGCTTTGAATAAGCAGAAGTGATAAGCTATCCCATGCGGTTTCGCGAAGCTCTGAAGACTTGGAATGGAGCCCACGTCGTTATGACAATGTAACCAGTATCTTATCTCTTGAAATCATCAAAGACTTTCCGCGCTACAAAACACACCCGAGTTCTAGAATTTGCAAAAGACACAGCATATATTAACAAAGATGATGTCATACATTAGCTATTATCAATAATGCATTAAATATATATACATATATATACCAAAGCATATATTTGACTAATTTTTTCACTTTTTTATTTATTTAGTAAAAACTTTGTAATGAATTTTTTTACCGGAAATTAGCCAGTTATCTTAATTATTGACTAACGTGTTACAAAGACTAAATGAATTATTTATTATTCAACAATTGACATGGAATGTTACAACTTTAATTATTACTTCTACGCTCCTTTGTGTGTTCAAAAGATTCCTAATTATTCTTCTGCGAGGAAATTTAATTATCATGAAATAGAAGTCATGGAGTGTTTTAATATTACTTTGATATTTTTTTTTCATTCTAGCTATTTCAAAAGAAACATAAACACGTTTAAAATATCGAAAATCATTTGTTATCTCAGCTTCAGAGATTTATTTTATAAAAATGAATGAATTCATATGAATATCTAATAGAATTCTTGAAACCTTTATAAAATAACTTATTGGATACAAAAATATAATCTTCATTTCTATTTATTTAGTTTATATATTTATTTTGATTCAGTTTATTTTGTTTTTTTTTTTGTTAGACGCGACTGTTAGAACTTGCAGCAGATTCAATGCTGCAGAGCTCACGTTTGCTGGAAGAATGAGGTGTCAAGGGAATGCACGAGCTATGTGTCAATCCATGGTTGAAAATACACCGACGGATAAATAAATGAGACTTGGCTAGTGGAAGAGGAAGGGTAATAGAGAAGAGTGATGGAAAAAAACGATCGAATAAACTGAAGGTATGTTATTGATACAATTGGTAATGACGCAAGCTAAAATTGATCTCTAAAAGTCTATCTATAGATATAGTGCAAATTTATTCACTTTTTTTCAAAAATAATTTTTATACAAGATTTAGTTTGTAATTTTGATTGATTAGTCCAACAAAAGTTGGGTCATCAAGTTCGATACAACCATCGATAAATAACTCTTGACATTTCTAATTTAAAATTCCTCATGCTGATGAATACTATCGTTGAAAGTGTCAAGAATTTCTGATCTTTAATTTTTAATTTACTTAAAAAATGAGTGATAAAACAGTTCTACTGAAATAGTTTTCAAAGTTAATTTATTCGTAATTAAAAATCAAAAGGTTATTTATATTTAATTGAGGAAATTTAATAGAAATAGAAGTGCAGAATTGAAACAACACAAAAACAAATAACCAATTTAGTTAATCTAAAATTCAAAATAATTTGGTAATCAAATTGCCAGAACTAATCTTCATTTTGTTGAAACGAATCATGAAAATTGTGATTAAAGGTAGCAAAAATCTTCATCGTCTTTTGAATGTTGATGATCTTGCATCCATAGTAGATACAATCCTCAAACAAATTTTCTTTGCTGATGGAGTTCTCAAGATTTTCATTTATGTCTCGTCGAGCTCGTTCTTATTCGATCTTTCGAGTCACCCTCCGGAAGGAGGATAAGACATAAAGAAGAAGTAAGAAGTAGAGAAAGCTAAGAGGTGCTGAAAACAAGTTGGGGGATGATGGTAAAAGCGGTTAAAGACATGGAGAAGGGTGTCATGATGAAGGTTTTACTACTGTGGTTATATACCCTCTTTAGTTCGTGCAATTTTGGTATATCTGAATTGAAGCAGTATCTAAACGACGTCAAATGAATCCTCAACCATTAAACTTGACTGCTCTTGATATTCTTTAGGATTTTTATCAAAACTTCAATGCTCTAAATGACTGAGTCAAAAATCATGGGAATGTTGGTATTGTCAATAAGAGCTTTAATTAAAGAAATTACTTATACAGTTATGAAAAACCTCATCTTCCACTTCCCGTATGAATCGGATGATTTTTTCATGAGTTATGAAGGTTCAAAGTCATAGAGTAGATGATTTTTTTACCTTTACTCGACTTTCGACCTTTATGACTCTTATACAAGTTATCTAACAATAATTTTTGGGGGGTATTTAGAAACTTCAGAATCTTAGCTAGAGATACATATCCATGAGAAATGTCAAAAAAATTTATTTCACCCTCAAAATGGCCAAAATAGTTATCAAACTCCCAAAAAATGTGTTTTTTTTTTTATATTTTAGCGAATTCTAGGATGAAGGAAATTTTTTAAATATCTTTTATGAATATGCATATTTAGCTTAGATTTTCAAGTTTCTGAAACGTCCGTAAAAACAGTTATTGGACCGTCCGTTCAAGAGTTATAAGGGTTTAAAGTCAAGGGGATGATAATTCGTAATTTGTATTTAGTGTAACCCCTTTTTAAGGGTGTTAAAGTGAATTTTCTTGACCGGTGCCCCGATTCCGCATTTCTACACATCAAGACGAAGAGAATGAGCCCTCAATCATCAAAATCTGAGTACCTTTATTTTTTGGCCTAAAAAAATGGAAAGGGGTACCACTTGCCATTTTTTGGGGTCGAAAAATCAAAGTTGTCCGATTTTCAAGTTCGACCACTCATTCTCTTCGTCTCAATGTGTAGAAATGCGGAATCAGGTCAAACTTTCGAAAAATTAATTTTTTCACACCTAAAATGGGGTAAAACCGGAAATTGCTCTAATTTTCAGCATAAATTATGCTCCAATTATGATTTTGACTAAAGCAATCAAAAGCTATTACTCTCACAAATCTATTGATATGCTTATTTTTTACATAGGCCTAATAGATCCCGAGTTATTAGCAAAAAACCAACTTACACTAATATATCTTTATTTTATCAACTTTCTTATTTATATTGATTTTGCAAAAATAATGAATACATTTCAAGTACCTTTGGAGTAGAGATGAGAAATTTTTTTTTATGGGTTTAGAGAAAAATTTCTTAAACATCAAACAGGTCATAACATTTTTATCAATGTAAATTAATTATTTTTGATGTGGTAATGAGCCTATAAAGTGATAATTGTAGCATCAAAGTGTACAATAACTATTTGATAAGATGTTACAATAATTGATAACAAAGTTTTATTGTATATTTATCATCATTTGATAGAAATAGCAATAATAAAACTTGTCAAGTAAGAATTAAGTGTAAAAAAATGAGAAAAACAGATATGCTGTCCATTTGTTAGGTTTACCCTATTAGAATCAACTTCTGGAAGTCACAAATCATGTTGAGGTCTTATAAAAGGGAACTAGGGGACTTTGAACCGCCAGTCGGGTGCAACGAGGCGGTGCAAGAGTACTTTGTTGTAGCACAAGGAAACAAGAGGAAAACGAACAAGTGTCTCCTGGCTCTTTCAACGAAGACCGATAACAACCTCCAATGTTGTGCTAGGATTAAACCGTCTACGCAGGACAGTTTTTCTTTCCTACTTTCATACCTACAACAATAAAAGCCAGTCAAGATTTTTATCTGTCTTATGGTATATGACTCAAGACAATGAAATGGGCTCCGTGACAAAATGCTTACTGTAACTTCCTTACGATCCAGAAACAAAACAAAAAAGACAAGATAAAAAAAGCGTCTAATTGCAAGTAGAAGATTAAGCGAGATTATAGATTATTATATGATAAGCTAACGGGTCAAATATACGAGGCTTATCGATATTAATTTCATTTCCAAGAAAATCATTATTGAATCAACTACGTTGGAGAATATTTCCAATTATTATTCAATTAAATATAAGATGAATATTAAAATGAACTTTTCCCATAGAATTTCATTCATTCAAGTTTTTATTTACAATAAAATGGTTAAACAATGTTCAGTGAATTCATTTATTAAATTATTTAAATTTTTAGTCAAATAAAACCTTGATTTAGATACTGGCATAAAATTGAACAACTTTTTAATTTTACTCTATAGAGATCATTGGCCAAAAATCTTTGGACTAATGAAAAAACAATCACTTCAGTTAGACACAGCTCAAGAATGTCGAGAGGTTAATTGAAAGTACGAGAAAAGGCAGAAAAAAAAATTAGGAAAAGCAGTGGAGCAAGATGAGTACGTAGAGAGGTTGTAGGTTGAGGATTTCGGATTTTCCTTAGGTTAAATCTCTCCAGCGCACGTCGTTTATCGCTCATGGAACTTTTGCTAGAGTTTTCTTATTCTTCTTTTTCTTGTGTAGTAGTTCAATGTCCAAGCTAAAACATTTTCTCTTATACCAGCAAGTCCAGGTCTTTTTTTATTCACTTCTTCATTTTTAATTTCCCTTCTATGTTACGGGTTCTCTTTCGTCCTCTTGACCAATTCTCAGCATCACTCGTTTCATCTAGGTATCCTCACGAGTCCAAGCAATGTTATCTTGGCTACGTCTTGGCGTTGATGACCCCCTAACCATGTTACCAGTCGCCTTGGCAAACCTAAATGCTTTTACCTCGGTTGCCCTTGGTTACGACCTTTGGACATATAGCAGAGGTACTTTCGTTCAGTTCATTTATATCTATATCATTTCACCAGGTCGTCTTCTGTCTAACTGACAGCAATGAAGTCAGCTAAGGATTTGCACGGGTCATCTACGGAAGAACGTTTGCTACGTTAATGGCTCGTTTGTGCTACGGTAGTTGTCCTGTTTGCTTTTCCATCCTACATTATTCTGCTTCGAAGTTTAAGATTTAATACTGCTCGTGTAAATGACCCAATTCAATTCACTTAAACATACATTTTCATCATTATTTTTGAAGTATTTTAACGAAAATATTCCTCAAGAGAATTTTATAAATTCAAACTCATTATAAAAACTATTTGTTAAATATTATTCTGCTACACATGAAATGTGACACTTTAATATAATAGCAATGACACAAGTTGTGTGTTATACTTAAAGGAAATTAATTAATTAGACAGCTGTTCTCTCATAGTCCAACAACTGGTTATATTCATTGAAAATAATTTTACAGAGATGTTTGCATTAAGTACTTGATATTGGATTACATTAATTTCATTTTGAAAATTAAATTTACTTGGGAATTTGTAAAATTAAAAATAAATTACTCAAATACTTTTTCTTGTCATATTACTCCGATATTTTTACAAACTTTCAGCATCAATAAAAGTCATTTTATCTTATAATTCTTGATAAACTTATCAAGAGAAAAATTTCTCTTTTACTTCATCAATGATCCAATTTATAAATATAAATAGATTGTAATAAGTTATTTAAAGGAAATCCAATTCATATTCTTATTGCGAATGTAATAAAAAAAAAAGTATTGGGAATTCTCTTTCAAGATAAAATCAATGCTTCCATTAACATGATCCTGAATTCATCGGACTGATGATGATGGTAGAGAAAAGTAGATCTTCCGGCCGGATTCAAATCGAGACACCATTCATAATTCAAGCGGCACGTTCCTTTGTTTTATCACCACCGGGTGTCTGCGATCGATCCGTGGCGAGACGTCGAGAGGCTACTGCTTCTTTCTCTTTCTTTTTGCCATTTCTTCTCTTCATCTTTCCTACACCTCTGAACTTGGGCTAACAATACTATCTATTTGCGCATCAAGATTCTGAGACAACTTTGAGCGCACCAAGAAAATAAGGAAGAACCACTATATTAGCATGAAAATAACTGTCAAATCAAGCAAATGTATTTCCATGTATCTCAATACATCTCTAATAGAGTATCTCTAATTGCCATGTACACAGGAATACAATATTTCATGTATTTAATGTTGGATTAATTCAATGATGAAGATTAAATGAATATATTCATCGGTCCAATGATTCAGCATGCATTTAAATTTCAATTTTATTTAAATAAAAAAAAGTACGTGTCGATGAAATTTTAACTAAAAATTTTATTGTCAGTGGAAACTGTGATCAA